AATATTGTTCTTATTCTCGCTGGGTTTTTGTTGGTAATTCAAGTTTTGTTTTGGTTTTCATTTTTTTGAGCAGTGTAGTCCATTTTTTGTTTTGGCCTATCTAATACGGTTTCTCTCTACACTTGATCGCTCAGGTTTTTATTTGGACTTCAAAATGGTTTCATAGTGGTGTGTAAAAGTATCTTTGTATATCCTTTGGGAAGTCCTTGATTGAATGTCATACGGTAATTTCAGGTCAGTCGCGCAGGGCTCTCAATGATAGCGTCAGGTGTTGCCGTGGAACTTCTGTCTTCCGTGCTTCAGTACCCAGATCCACTGCGCGCTCCGGCCAACATTGGCGAACCCGGACGATTCGTCGTCGTTGTTGGGTGCAACGCCACATCAAGTTCGTGGATATCTATCACGATTCAGCCAGGTGAGCAATGCGATCTCCTTGAAATCTTTTCATTTTATTGACGGTTGTAGGATGACATGGTTACATTCAGTTTTCGATAGCCTACTGGATTTTGGTTGTTTAGATGACCCCATGTGTACGGCGATTCGAGAAAGTGTGTCGCTTGTGGTAGCACGGTGGCTGAGGAGTACCTGAGCCGAGGGGCAGATTTTGTGAAAGAGGTGAGTCACTTTATAAGCCCTTTTGGTAATCCTTCAAATATGTCTTGAACTGTTGCTTTTTTTCAAGGTGATGAACTGTCCGTCGTATCTAGAAAAGCTGACGGGACTGGATCAGCTCCAAGCCTCTATAAACGACGTACATATCGAATTCAGTGATGATAATGACTCGGTGATGTCTTTGTAGAGGTCCCACCATATTATAATTGTTTGCCATTGTTTTCTTTCTAATTGCCTGCTGAGAAAAGCGAATGGGCTCGAGCAGGAGATGGGTGAGATTTACATAAGTTTGAGGTCATTTGCTGAGATAATTTGATCAATAAGTATCTTTGTCATGGTCGCGGCATCGCGGACGTGCACAAGTCGCAAACTCTGAACCGAGTTTTGGAAAAAGCTTTGTAGTTTCTTCAGAATTAGCTTGAAAGATTCTCTTTGTTTAATCTCACAGATTGGGTTATGGGTTGGTTCAGGTGTAAATTTGGTAAGATTCGTAGTTTTGGCCTTTCAGCCTCCAATTAATTGCTTAATTCCTGATTTTTTTCTACTCCGCTTATTATTGTTGTCGATGCTCTTACGAACCTCGAAATACAATAATCTCCTCTCTATGTCATTCGTTCACTTTGCCTTTGTGTCTTCCTCGTGATTTCCTGTAGATATTGATTGCGGTTTTTATCCGAATGAGGATGGGATGACCAACGGTGCCGAGTTATTTAACATTTACTTTTTAATCTTGAAAGATTTTTTTTGGATACCGTGTTTGTGTGGCTTTGCGTTGCAGGTTTTACTGCCAATACGCCATCCCTTATTCTCTCAGTGTTTTTCTTGATGCTGGTTTGAACCAATTCTATTTTCTTGCTCGAGGCGTTTACCTCTATTTAGTGTTTGCCGGCCTGTGATGCGCGCGGTCGCGGCGCGGCGTCCACGGAAAGTGATACGCCGTCATGTTTTAGTAGGGGCTGGTCACGACTGCGCGCATTTCAGACCAATGATTTAGATCACGCGTAAATATAAACCCAATCTTCACAGAAAACTCTGATTCTTTCGTAGCCAGCTGCCTTCGAATGAGTGGAGCGCTGAAAGCTATCGAATGTACGATATGTAGGAAGTCATTTGCTTGTCACAGGTGAGGTTTTATTTCTCATCCAAGAGTACATAAAAAGGATAAAGCATTTGCCGTGGATCAATCCCTTTTTGGGATGCTGACGGCATTCAGATTATTCTCATTTGCCTTTCGTGTGGCGTTTTGAATTTGCGGATGGTGGCTATTGCTATGATTGCGGGGGCCAGCCTTATGTACAATCAGAGTTTTGAGGTTCCTTCATTTAAGGTTGGTATCATTAGGACGATCGGGGGATGGTAAGTCTTGGTCGCGAGCGGTCCGGGGATTCAAGTCCTGGGCGTGACTGCCAGGATTTGATCCCGGCCGTCAAGTTGTATGGTGCCACTTGCACTTAACCACATTTCCGCCAGACGAGTATTTACTCTTCTTATTCAAACGTACATTGAATTTGCTAGCAGACTAACAACAAATATAAGGTCACACTCACAAAAGGCTCAACTGGCCGTGTTGCAGGATGGTAGACCCACTTAACATGACTACTAATGAAGTGGTAGCGATGAAATTGGCGAAGATCAAGAGGTTTGGATCGCAACTGGGAGGGTGTGCTAAAGTTTGCTTGGGCAAAATCACAGAATTTGAGTTTCTGTGCAGTCAACCGAGTCTCATTTACCGGCTGAGTCAGTTGGTTGACACCCGATTGTCTAAAAGAAGATATTGCATTCAAACATGTCGATATTCCATGATGCCATCGGATGAGGTTAACACACCTTGGATGGTTGTATTCGTTCTGCGGTCCTATTGTATTTAAGGTTCTCGATTGAATAATAGTGAGTGCGCATACCAACGCCGCAACGGGCAACATTTGCACTGTTGCCAGTTAGGCCTTTGTGCTTTCTTCACGTAGACCCATTGCAGCCGTTCTAGGAAAATCATGAGAAGCGGGATGTGTGACACTCACTTTTTTTACTCGAGCTGTTTGTAGCTGGAGGTCAAAGGGCTTAGTTCGGGATGGGTTTTCGAGTTACTTCTCCACGCGTTTCGTTTTTCTATCCCACCTTGTCCCCCCCTCTTTCTCTCCTAAAAACTGTGGGTCAGAGACTGCTGCGTGGACTTCCGTGACTCAAAATTTTTCGAATCACATCCGCCAGCGGCCATCACTAAATGGTTTTGGTCGCAGCTAAGGTACAGCGGCGGAATGGTCAAGTTCCCGTTTTGTCCTTAGATCGGTGTTTTTAGGCGAATGGGGTAATGCGCTTCGTTTTGATTTGTTCTTGATTTTTTATGTAGGCACTCCGAGCCAGAGTTCCGTTGGAACACTGCCGCTCAGCTTTGAGCTTTTTGGTATAATCGGATGAGTGCATTTAAAAAGCTAACTCTGGGGTATAAAAAGCGAGGAATATGATAGCGAATCAAACATACGCAATCGGAATCAACACTCATGTTTCTCGGAGGAGTATAGTACGATGCTTGCGTTATTCTTGGTTGTAGTTTCAGGTTCACGTGGACGCGAAGACTGTTAATGTGGTTAGAAAACTTCCAAACTTGGGATTGTGCGTGTATTTCGTGAGCGCCGCTGGGCTCATTTTCGACTCAGGGCGCGCCACTTGTCATGGATTGAGACTTTTTACTAACTTTTACTAGCACCTAATCATAGTATTTTTAAGTACTTTTGTAAGATTTGTGATGGATGAGGAGTTACAGTAAGAAAAGAGGATCCAAAAACGCTGGATGCTCATATTGGGCAGGGAGGCGAGGTTAGGCCCACTTTTATGAATGAATGAACCCTAGTGAGTGAATCTCTGGGCTTTGTTGGTATGAATTGGATCGTTTTAGAATGTCGCGTCTATCTATCTTTCATCGCATCGTTATCCATTCAAGCGGAGTGGGGATGTCCGTTTGTGAGCAGTTTCGTACAAAGGTTAGGACCCGTTGGCACGATGTTCTTTATAGGCGGTGACGGCGTGCCCATCAGAACTTTTCATGCTCCTGAAATGCGGGGTAGTATCTATAGTACCGGTATCTCTAGTTTTTTTTTTTTTTTTTTTTTTTTTTTTTTTTTTTTTTTTTTTTTTTTTTTCGCTTCTGAGTTCAGGGAAGTTTTTGGGGCGATTTATATGGAATCAATGTCCGAAGGAGTTTTTGTTCATTAATTTGACGAAATTATGTTCTTACGTTTCTATTGTTGGTTCACAATTTACTTTCCAATTTTTACTTTCTTCTGAAAATTCCTGGGTCCAGTGTGCAAATTCGCATGTGTGTACCAAATGCATCAAAATTCTTGCTGAGAGCTGTAACCTCCGCCCACCAAACCAGCATTGCATTTGATGGAGGGAATACTACCATTTAAAATGCTCATCGGTTTTTCACAGTTTTCTTAAAAGACAGTAAAGTCTTTGAAGGGATGCCCGCAACCGTCGCCAAAAAGGTGGTCCTAGCTAAATCAGTCAAAACGGGGCTGCACCAGTCTTGTGCTGGAATGGTAGGACACCCTAGCAGTTACTGATCGATGGTGCACAGACGCTCTAACGAAGTTGATTGACCAAGAAATTCTAATAAATGTGCTCATCTGCTACTCACGTGTGCTCAAAAAGGGTGCGTTTTTGACCCTGTGTGGCAAAAAAGACTCCGGGAAAAATTGTCCAGTTGAGCTGGTAAGTAATAAATTTTCCACCAAACAGTGCAGACCCTACTCTAACTAAATGTATACATATTTTGTCCAGGCCCAACTGTTTAGCAAGGTAGAGGGATGATTTGTCAGATGATGTCAAATTCGACCTACCTCTCTTTTTCGTCTCAAAAAATTCCTAACTTTAATCGTACGAGGTTTTCACTCATACTGGTAAATGGGAAAGGGCTAATGAGTCATTCGATGGATATGCCGTTTCACTCACTGGATTTTGAATTAAAATATTGGTGGTCCGAAACTCGCGGTGAAAAAACGACACTAAGATATCCGGTACCTAATTAAAGGTTCAGTTAATGATGTTTCAAGCGGCGGAGAATAGTAAAGTGTGTAATGCGAGCCAGTGTTGACGAAGCCTCCACACTCCATTGGCAGTGCGTACTCCGTTCCATTGTACCACTCTGTAAGGCTTCCTAAATTACATTTAGCCTTCTTTGGTTTTATAATCTATGGAATATCATGTAAAGGAGCTACAATAAGGGCGTTTAGCATCAAGGAGACTTCCTGTATTGCATTTTGCGGCGGCTAGGCGGTGTTCGATTGCGACGCGACTGAGACATGCGAGGGCCCGCGCCCTCCCATTATTTTCTTGCGGTTTTCTGCGGTTTGTGCCACATGTGTTGCATGGGTTCCTTTTACAATGTTTTTTGCTACTTAAGTTAAGGATTGCGTAATTGCTATTGAAAGAGTTTGAACTCAGTATTGGTTGAAAGATTTTTGTCATATGTCGTTAGGTTGGTCTCGATAGTTGTGTGGGGTAGTTTTAGTTGTTTTCTTCGATTTGTAGATTTGAAGAGCAATTCCAGGACGCGTTCATCCTTGCGCACAACTCTTGAGGTAAGGCCGAGCGGTAAGAGGTTGTGCCTAGTTTACGGCCTGAAATTGCGTAGCAAGTACACTAATGGTAAGAGCAATAGCGTAGCCTTGGGGCTCATTATGCTGGGACTCACTCCAAATGAAGTGTTTGGCGTATGCGTCTCGCTCTTCTGTACGCTTTCTACTCTTGTCAAGTCGACTTTCTTATCTCAGCGCTCAGTATTTTTTTATGCATGCTGCCCAAAACCAGTGCTAATGGGACGGCCTTGTGCAGGGCATTTTATATGCTTCAATTTGCTTTGTCTTTTGTCGCGGCCTTCAACACGTGCAGTTTCATATAATCACTGTTAGCGTTTCTACAGGAAAAGCACATTTTGCGTGCCAAGCTTGGTTCTAAGTACGGGGTGGCATGGGAAAATCAAGTTTTCGAGGAGGAAACTCAGTTTTTGATAAGTCTTTTTTGCAGTGGTAGGTAACAGTGAGTTTTCAGCCCCACTTGGTGCGTCATATCGGACGTTGCCATGCTTCCGAGTGTCAGGACGGACTGGAGAGGGATCGCTGTCATAAGATGGAGAGACTGAGGCATAAGTTTTTAGTTTTTGAAAGGTGTTTGATTCTATTTTTCGTCTTATCGAAAGAGTTTGGGAAGAGAAAAAAATCGAAAAGAAAAGGATAAGAAAACTAGGGCTTGAAGGTGGTCAGTAGATAAACTCTGAAGGATGTACACATGTGTTTTTATTCCAGAATCTCGCTTAAGCAAGCCATTGATTTTCATCCGAAGAAAATACAACTTTAGTGGGGTTTCGATTTTTGCACACTTGAGTGCTCTAAATTTTTCTAAATGGAAGGCCAGAATCAGTAGTGCCTTCCGATACTGTGTTTGAATTTGTAATGATTTACATTTTCGGCAGCCAGACTTGCAAGGTTTTTTTCCTAAAGGAAGCCAGTTTTTTTCTGCTTTTGTTGACATTAGGAAAATATCTCGGAAAAATTATGTAAAGGAAATGAAAATATCTAGAAAAACATCTCGTTTTATTGATGGTTACTGATCATCCATCTGAAAGTGCTGGTGTTTGTTCGGTATTGGCAGTAACACTGCTTCCAAATCGATTTGTACAATGGTCATTGTTGGGTATATGTTGTCGCTGTCCTTCACGATAGTATTTCCAAATTTCGATTTCCGATGGTGGGGGAAGCGGTGTTTTTGAAATTCAAAGCTGCTTGATTATGTGGTGGAGCTGGGTGATTTCAGAGTCACCATTTCGCTGGCTCACTCATTACTGCTTTCAGAACCCATCGAACTCGAGCTGCCTAAAAAATTTGAAGCTGACGCTCCAACCGTACCGCAGTGTGGCGATCTTCTTTCGCGATTGCTCTGCATCCGCTGTGGCACAACTTTCGATAACCGTACCGACCTTGATCGCCATGTTACGGTGAGTACTTATGACCGGAGGACTTTCAAACTTGGCCACTGCGGGTCGTTCTGACGAGCATCCGCGGTGCGATCATAGGAGTTTCCGTCAGGTTGTAGTAATGCTTTTCGGGGCCCAGTGATCCGATCTTTCCAGGAAATTATTTCTATACTCATCCAAATTCTTCAATATGGCGTAAAGTCGCCCAATCTTTGAATCATTAAAATCACAAGCTGTTTACAGCGATAGTACAAACGAGCGTTGTGGCGCTTGTCGAATATCTCAGTCAGTGTTGCGTAGGCTTTCAATAGCAACGGTGATCTCTTTCAGAACACCCATCGCTCGTTGAAGTGCAAACATTGTGGTGAAGTCTTCGATGGTTATGCAAAACTCAGAGCCCATGAGTTGCGTCAACGAGCACAGTCG